GTTGTGAGCCATCAGCAAGTAATTAAGGAACATTCAGGAAAACATGCTAGTTCAGGTAAAAGGAGTGCTCTCAAGTGTCAAAGCTTTCACATTTTGAAAGTTTCAATTATGATTATTTATAAAATCTATTCTTAAATGGATAGAGATTGTAAGTCTTCCTTCTGCTAAGAACTCCATATCTCATCTCCAGCAATTCCTTTACCCAGTAAATACAGTTATCTTTCAAATGCTAGGGGTTAATTTTTCTTTAGAACTTCCACTAATTATAAAGAATTGAAATATCTTCTGCAATAGAACTGTTAAAGGCTACACATTTACTCTATGCTGCTCTTTGAAGAGAGAATTAATAATACACCCCCATAAAACAGGTATGAATCCCAAAACATATGTTGAATGACATTGTATTTAGTATAGTCAAGAGGCATGCTATCTTCCCCTGCAAAAAATTTAGTGAAGATGCAGCCAGATTGAATGTAATTCTCATTTTCTTTCCTAACAGCCCAAAAATTGAGTTCACTGAAAGGCAACCAGAAGAGAAAGTCTCATGTGAAGCCTTTAGACTTCCTATCCTTTCATCTCCTTGCAAATGCTCCTGCCTCCGAGAGTAGGCAGAAGCTTTTTCTATTTCTAGAGAAAACCAGAGAAGGAAAGGTGAATCAGATCTGGCCTGCTGTGCTTCACAGCTCATTCAAGCAATGGCATTAATATGGTGGGCTGTGATGGGTGGCAGCTGCGGGGCTAAAATGCCAACACAAAAGCTACTTGTGTTGGATGGATGGTTGCACTGCATAGTAGTTATATATCTCCAGGTTGTTATGAGGTCCTGAACTGAACTGTAACTCATGTTTGGAATATTTAACTGCTTACAGTGCAGCATGTTTTAAATCTAATGTTGTGCCCACAAAAGCATTAAACTGTTAACAAACCAAACATTTTTGTAAATACCCAGGAAAACGAAAGGTTATTTCTGCACAAATACCCCTCTTATCTGATGTGGGAACTATCTGACAGCATGAATGGATACCTACCTGCTGGGATGACTGTAAAGGCTTCTAGTTTAGAGAATAAAAGACTTTTTTGAAAAAACTAAACTTTCAAATCCACTACTTGTAATTAAATACATAGCAACATGGGTTTATTTTTTTCTTTTTCATGTGATACACTTTTCTAGTACAAAGAGAAGGTTTTTTTTCCTCTCAAGTTGTAGCCATGAGGCCACAAGCATTAGAAATTCTTACATCCCACTGTAAGTGGAGAAGCTAACACAACATCACACAAAGCTTCTGGAAGGGCCTATTTCAAGCAATAATACTGATGCAGCCTTTCTTTTTTAAAATTTTTATTTATTTTTTTTGTCTACGTGTGTGCCATCATGTCTTTGCTTGTGTTTTACATCCAAGAGATTTTTTTTGTCTTCCCTGATGACATTTCAGATTGAACAAACAGCATGACTTTCAAAGTGACCCTTTATTATCACAGTTGCTCTGCTGTCAATACAGCTGCAAGTTGGCATTCAGAGCAAGGGAGCAGGCTGATTTAAACTTTAAATATCAAATATCTTTGATACACCTCAGGGCACGGCAATGATTTCCTCCATGTTTTCTTTTGTTTACTTCATAATGTCAATGTAACACAAGTTGAATACAGCATTAGCATGTTTCTATTGTGTCTGTATTCAGCTGTGCTAGGAAAGACTTCATTCACTCCATCATCTAATTACAAGGCAAAAGTCTCAAAAAAGATACATAAAGTAAGCAGTATTTTTCTGAAATTGTCTGGTTTGTTAATGTTTCTTAGCTGTGTCTGAAAAATGCAATCACTATAAAAAGCAACAGTTGAAAAATTAAGATCTGACTGTCATAAAAAGACCTTTTCTTTTCAAATTACAACTGAGTGAATTTTATCATCTCCCTTTTCTGTGATGAGAGTGGGACTGAAACCCACAGAAATACCTACAGGGTTTAGGACCAAAACAACTACTTCAAAGGCATAGTAAAGTCAGACATCTTGAAGCCACTCTGTAAGGATTAACCAGAGAGTCCTGTTTTCTTCTCACTGCAGTGCCACTGATTTTAAAATAGCAGCTATTGATGTCATGGGCTCCATGCTCTACATAATGACCAGCTAGAAAATCCACTCTGAGCACATGCTTGTCTTCAGACACATGGGCTTTTTGACAAACGGAAAAAAAGAAAGACTTTAGACAGAGGATCGAGTCTCTCACTTTGAGATAAAGGAGGACATTGGATTTGGAGATAAAGGAACTCAGAGTCAGATTGGATCCCCTGGTTCACATCCAGCCTTCCTCTGTTTCTGGCAAGATTTCATCCAGTCATTTTAGAAATTTATAAACTTGTGTGTTTAGTTTCTGCTTTTGCTATCTCTGTTGAGAAGATGACACAGAACTCAGCTCCTCTAGTGGCTAGAAGTTTTCTTCCAATGTTTTATTCTAAATTTATTCATGGCTAGCTAGCACCTAGGTTTGGCATTTTGTTATTTTCTGCAGCAACATTTAACTTTAGCTTTTTCTGTCTTCTCAGTGTTATTCTCCCTTGTGTCCATGTATCTAGAAACAGAAATCTATTCTTGGTCTTTTTGTTAGAAACTATGAAGCTATTCTGTATCTTTTAATATAAAAATCTGTCTTCACAGTAGCCCTTCTTTGCAGTCTTCCTGGCAAACTGCTGCAGGAGCAGTTTTGTGATCTAACATTTAGCTCTAAGTCTTCACCTCAAAAATGATGACAAGACACTTGGCAATACAATTAGCATTTTTCACATTACAATAGAGAGAGAGAATGCATGACAATATGATGAAAATACATAAAAGAATGTGCATATACAGTGTTACTATAAAGCAATTGTTCAAATTACTTAGATAAAATATAATCAGTTATGGAGAAGCTTTCCATGTGACACAGAGATACATCTTTTATTCTCCCTTAGCAACCTGGCATTTTCACACATTCTTAAAGCCTCACCCTGTTCCTGAGTTTCTAAGCCTCTTTTTCTCTCCAACTGCCTGCAGTCATATGTGTCCTACTACTAGAATCAGGTAAACTGTGAAAGGTGAAGTGAGATTTCAAACAAATCACTAATCTCAAACTTGAAGTGCTACCAAATTGTCACAAATTTCCTGCACAAAGATGGCTTGAGTTATGATAAGCAAGCAATGGATTTAAAAGCAACTCCTCAGATTTCTGAAATTTCTCCTAGTGTTATTCTTTGTTGTAATAAAAGCTGATTTTTTGCCTTCCAGAGGACTCCAAGGAACTCCTAGAAGAGGGAACAATACTGCATGCCTGCCTGTGCACACATGTGGCTGACCTCCCTCTCAGCCGCAGCTTTTGAAGGAAGGGCAACACTGCTGCACAAACACCTCGTACAGGTCGTACTCAAGAATATCGCCTTGAGTTATTTCTGCTTATTCTCAACAGTATAATAAGTCCAGTGCTCCAGTTCACTGTGCTACCAGAGGCACCAAATATGCAAAGACTTGATTCAAAAGAGACAATACTTTTTCAGTTTCTGAAATAAGGTGATAAAGGAAGGATTACTTCAATGCCTGGTACATTATAAAAACTGCCCACCTCTTCCCACCCTTTCATTTAAAGACAGGCATGATACCTAATATCCACCACCACGGTTTTCTTTCCTGTCTCTGCAGATTTGCCTCCTCCAGTCATTAAAACTGGATTGAAGGATGTTACATTTAAATAGAATATTATTCCAAGGAAGAAATATTAATAAATCTCCTCGTGCAAAGCTGATGCATAGAAATGTCTTATGCCGAGTTTCCAAAGTTCTCAGGGTCTGACTGTAACCTTGTCATGCATGTTTCCAGTTGAAAGGTTACCTGGAAATCCATGTTAAAATTGCTGTAATGCCCAACTGGGGGATCTTCCCCCACATTTTCCACCATCTGAGGTGAATCTCTTGACACATCACAGAAGAGCCATTCTCTGGTTCAGAAAAGAATCTGTTCTATACAATTGGAACAGCATCAAAATGAAGATTGAAAGACTCTTATCCCAGAATAAGTTATGACCTCTCTGGCATTTGGAGTCACATCTCTGCAGGCAAATAAGGAATGATGCAACTAGAATCACAGGATAAACTAGGCTGGAAGGGACTTCTGGAGTTCATCCTCCAGGTAAAACTGGGCCAGTTGCTCATGAACTTATCCAGATGAGTTTTGAATATCTCCAAGGATGGACATTTACGTCCTCGTTGAGCAACGTCTTCCAATACTTAAACACTTTTTGGTGTAAAAATGTTCCTCTTCTATCCGCTCCTAATTGCCCTTTGCTGAGACTTGACTATTGCTCTTGTTCTCTCATTCTACACTTCAAAGAAAGGTCTGGCTTTATTACTTTTTTATACCTTAAACATGTTATTTTTTAAAGAAAATGAAAAACAAAAATGCAACCTGTGGATACTGCATTGTGTATAAAGTTGTATTCACCTCTAAGTAATCAAAACTTGGCTGGGGAAATAGCTCTGATAAACTCATTTCAACCTACAAAAACAGTGACCTGAAGGCACTGGATTTGAAATGCCAGTGACCAGTAGGGAACTGCCAGACAAGAAGCAGCTCCACCATCAGGATATCTACCTTTTCCATCATCTTCCTAAGGATAGTATGTGTAAATCCACTTGCACAGCACTTCTCTATCTTTAGGAAGGCAGAGAAATTTATAGATTTACAAAAACACAGTGAACCTACAATAATAGCCAATATTTCAATTTGGTACTGATTGCAATTTAGGCACTTGTTCTCAGTTATGCTGACAGCTAAGTGGGATTGTGTGTGTGCATGGGTTTTTATCAGCCGTGTTGCTGTTATTTTGTGTTGCTATCACTTTTTATTGTCTTAGACCCCTTGTGGTCTTCAGATAAGGGTAAAGTGGAGTTTCCTACAAGCAATCTGTTAACATAGTGCCAGTGCAAAAGATACTTGTCCATGGATGTGAAATGAAATGTGAAAAAATACAGACATACCTGGTCCAATGCAGAATGATGCAATGATTGCAAGGATGCAAAATATACTGAGGTAAGGAAGCCATTCCACAGTTTTCTGGGTAAATAAAATAAATTAAAGTTATGTATATTGAAGGTATCACCAATAATAAAAAAAACCAACACCACTAATACTAGTACTAATACTAATATTAATACTAGTAATACTTGTGTTCTCTGTTATTCTGCTTCTATTTCAGAAATTAGTCTAGGATTACCTTAGAAGTTCACAGTCTTTCTGTAGAACTTTATTAGATTTTTTTTATTAAAGGTCTTTGTCCCTAGAGAATCCCTGTAGAGAAAGACTAGATGAGCTCTTGCACCACAGAAGCCACAACTCTGAAAGTTCACAAATTCTTATGCTAAAGACCTGGAAAAGAGTTTTTCCTTTCCATTGAACAGATTGAAGCCTCCATCCTCCTCCTCACATACTTCAGTCATGTTTAAAAAGAGCAACTATGATGCCCCATAGAGCTTCAAATTTCACCCATTAAAGGCTGAGCTGAAGTCTAGACGCTATAGGCTGCCTTCTGGTAGGACAGCTGTTCTGAACTTTAGTAAAGCATATGAAGGCCAAAGTAAAAGGATTTTTAGCCATAATCTGATGTAGGAAGGTCACGTGTGTAAACAATAGCTACAGAGAAATGAGAGCAAACTATAAATGGTTGTTTAAGGGAATTGTAAACAGAATCTCCTATTTCCTTCACAAGGCAATGTTGCTGTTTTTTCTACATCAAAATAGATTTTTCTTTATTCAGGCCTGTAAATGATAGGAACTTGAAACATCATGAGCAATTTCTGCTGATTTTTCAGGACACTGAATCTTAATCAGATACATGAATGCTTGATAAAAATACTAATAGATGGGAAAAACCCATGGATTCCCATTCCTTTCTCTAACTCTCATCAGTTTCAGTTTTTTCCATTAGCAAAGTGTGAAATTGATATTGATATTGATATTAGAATTTTACTATTTTTGCAAAGTTGGTTAAGTTATGTATAACTGTAGCATCACGAAATATCACTGTGAGCAGCACTCTAAAATACACTTGCTAAAATAGCTAATTATTTGTTTCAGTGTTTAATAAACACCCCCATTTTCTGACATTTTTTTCTCTTCCCGTCTGGGTTATTCCTTTAGTTATACGGAAAACATACTAATGGTCTCCTAGGCATTAACATTAACCAAAAGACTTGTAGAGCTGTCAAAATTACACATTTTGGAGTGCTTGTCTGAACTCAGTTCCAAGGTCTCTAAAGGTACTGAGAGAGAGAAGTTGCAAAAACAGAGTAGATACAAATTCCTCTGAGATCAAGGCTATTTATATCCCAGATCCTGTGTTCAAAGCATTACTTAATCTCTCATAATTAACAGATTGAGACACTTCTGGAAGGAAATACAACTGGAAGACACTCAATATTCAGAGATTTACAACAGCTGAAGGTCCTCATGGATCAGACTAAGTTTTAGAAGACTTGGGAAAGAATTTTTTACTGTTTACTTGCAATAACCTCTCTCTTCTGGAGTGCTGTCTTGTGGCTGTTGTGATAGGTATGTGAAATAAAGATTTATTGTGCTGTACATACAGGTAAGTCAAATAAAGCTTGGCACTGGGGTGGCAGACCTCTGCTAGTCAAACTGACTTACTGACTTTAATAATTCTCCTCTGACCATTTGAAATAGCTGGGGAACTGACTGCTAATAACATCTGAGAACTTCAGTGCAAATGTTCTGGGAAATCTGTCTTTATATTTTTGAGAAAAATACCAGAAATGTAACTTGGAAAAAACAACAAACATGGAAATTTTTCACTACTGGAAAAAAACAACATCCAAACCCAAGAATAAGAATGATACATAAAATGGGAAATAGATCTAAAAAACACTGCATTAGAAACAAAGATAAAAACATAGAATATGGTAAACTATTTACCCAAGTATGGGTCAAATTGTCTTCATAATAGTTCCTGATAAGCACGAATCTTTGAGTTAAGGAGACTAAATATTACAAAGCCTCTCTGGCTTTTTAATGCAAAAGCTGCTGTGGCTGACCATGGTCCATTGAAAACAACAGGTTCTCAAAGAAACAAAAGACACCTTCATGTCTTTATATCAAACTGATTAAAAGGACTGGCTCATGGAGGAATGCTGAGGTCAACAGGCATCGAGCACTTGACATAGTTTTGAAATAGGAAAAGAGAGAGTAAAAAGATGCAGTGACTGTATTTTTACCTGTAAAGTCAGAGAGACAGTAAGTACTGCGAAGAAGACGATCATCAACCCAAAGCCTCCGATGAGAAGAGGCCGGCGGCCCAGACGTTCAATGGCTAAGCTCTGGAAAACAAAACATGGCATCTGACTTTCCTGATAAAACACTGAAGAACTCAGATCATGTAATATGTTCTCCAAGTAAATAGGAACACCAAAAATAAAACCATGAGAGTTGACTTTGCAGTATTTATCAGCTAGGGTGTGTTCATAATTGTGTTCACAATTGTGTTTACATAATTCAACCTCTTTGAAAAAACAAGTCATCAGAGGATCCTTATTTAAAACCATGGAGAACGATTGGGAAACCATCAAAATCTGCCCTTGTTATAGTTTTATGTCTGGCTTTCCTGCTACAGAACAAATATGACCATATTGATGAGAAAAATTGATAACTGGTAAATTCAGCTTTAATACCATTAATGTTATAGATACTAAAGGTGCTATTAGATTAAATACCTTCCATAACAATTTAATAGTACAACAGGGATTGTGCATTAGCTATCTGAAAACAGTTAATATGTTGATAACTACACAAAGTTTGTTGGTTTTTTTTTCTTATTTATTGTTTATTGTTTTAGGGGAGAAATAACTCTGGATTGTTGAACTGCTTACGAATTTGTACCAAATTCCTCTAATAATGTTCTTAAAATATATAATTTTTAAATATCAAAAAGTGAAAATGTTTTGACTATTTCTTAATTTCAACATCTCTCTGACTTTAAGCTTAAAAGGCTTAGAATTTAAGCTTATAAACTTTTTAGCATAAATTACATAATTTATTATTAACCTAAGATTTCTTTTTCATTTATTTTCTTGTCCAAACACATTTAGTCATGCTCTAGAAGAGTTAATGTACTTGTAATAGCCAGATAAAACAAATCCAGTCATCAGAAAACTTTGCTCAGACTGGGGATTTTAACACAGATACTTTGCACTCATTAATGTTTTGATTAGTATTTAACACCTGAAGATAAATCAGCTGACTTAAATGCAATCTCAAAATCTAAATACTTACCTGCTTGAGCAGGTAAGTAGAAGAGATTCTTGAAAAGCTGTAACATAGAAACTTTATATTCTTTGCTAGTCTAACTCCTTAAAATAGGCCAATATCTATATTTTAGGTCATTAACACTTAATGTACACCTCTTTATAACTACTGCAATTGCTAATTACAGTTGACTTTATTATGAAAAGGATAAAAAAATTCATGAAGCCTGAAATGCGTCCCTTCAATAACCTTAAGTCAGAATAAAGCTACTCTTTGCTGTGTCATTACTTGTTGCAGACTAAAATCCCCCTTTCATGCCTTACTCAAGCAAATGACAAAATGAGCAACTAAAATGAAACCTGGAACAATGCCCCTCATCCTGGTAGGCAATGCACACCGCTCTGCTGTGAGCATCTGGAAGAGCCATAGAAAAGCAAAGTACAAAGCCACCCAGGTCAGAAAGGCCTTGAGTGACAAGTGCTTTTCCCCAGCAGTTTTTAGGGCAAGCTTCCCAACACATTGACCCTATGCCCTGCCCAGCCAGACTTCCTCAGCAGAGACATCACCATGACGATGTAGAAGCAGGAAAGTAGCTCTGGGGTGAGGTTCAGCACTCTTTATTTCTTTAAATGAGGAAATGTAATCATTTGGACAGTTTACACGGTTTCCATAATAGAATTGATTCCAGAGTAGTGTTTAAAATAGAATCATACTGATGTTATTAACATTTCATGTAGCACTTACGGGGTCCCAATGTTCCAAAACTGCAACTGCTGCATTGTCAAAACCTTACAAGATGCTGAGTATTTTCCACTATGATTAATGAACCCATCTTGCAAGCTTGTGGCCACACATACACTTAACTGAGAGACATTATTTATGGCTCTGAGGGATGAAAAGTTATCTGATGAGGCTTTAGAAGACTGAGACTTCTTTAATAGGTGTTTCACATGTAATTTGACTTACTAGGGAATTTGCTCCTTTTTTTTCTATTCTGGATTGGTGTTCATGATCAAACAATCTTGGTGTTACACCAGCTAGTAGGTTTTGTATTAAAATAGGGTAAGGGATGAATGTTTCTCTTAGAGTGAAAAACGTTCATAGAGGCCTCTCATACAAAGCCAAGCATGGGAAAAAAAAGTGATAAGCTCAAAGCAAAGCAAATCTTAGTAAGGGACAGTTTGGACTAAGTCCTCCAAAAAGAAAGTAAAGAAGTTTTCCCCCATGTTCAGATGGAACTTCCTGTGTTCCAGTTTATGCCAATTGTCCCTCATCCTACTGCTGGGCACTACTGTAAAGGGTCTGGCTCCATCCTACTTACACTTGCCCTTTAGATATTTATAGACATTAACAAGGTCTCCTGCCAGTCTTCTGTCCAGGCTCTGATGTACCAGAGTTGCTGGGAATCCTAGAATCTTTACCAAAGTTGATGTGAAGTTAAGTACACTGAAAACACTAATAAATCTAGGAAATACTGACTTGGAAGGTTTCTCAATTACGCATGATTAACTTGCACAACTATGAGGAGAGAAATGCCTGTTTCCATTTTAAAGCTAAGGACCCCTCTAATTTGTTCAAACGTGCGGCCTACCTCTTGTATCATCACTTCCAACCCAACCCAACACAACTGCTATGGTATTGGCTTTCATGAAATCCAAAAAGATTTTTTGAATAATTTCAGCACACAGATGGTTCAACAGCCAGTCTGTAAAGATGTTTAGGTCTACAGTATTTCTAACTAAAATTTAATTCCCAATTTTTTATAATTTTTTTTGAGGATTTCTTAAGAAAAAGTATGACAACACATCAGTATTTCAAATTTCTCTGCTGAATTGTTTGTTCTCCTTCTCTTGCTGGGGAGGTGAGGGGTGGGGCGGAGCTCAGACAAACTGAAGTTTCAGTAAATTCTTGAAAAAAAAGGCCTGGCATGTCTTCTATAGTGGCAAGTTTCCCTGGAGAAAAAAAGTGCTGGTTTTGAGGTTATAAACAGGTAACTGCATTTTTAGTTATAACTGCACAACTCCAAAACCTATTAACTTGCAAAACCCACTAAGATGCTTATGTCTCATAAGAAGTGGAAGATGATTAATCCGTTTTCAAGTATTTATAGTTCTGAATGCTCCAATGCCATGTGCTGGTAACCTACCTACTGAAGACCTAGAACAAGTAAAAAATATACTCTATGGTAGAGTAAATGAAATAAAAAGAAATTCAGTATATGCTCAATACGGTCAAGAAAAAAAGAATCTTACAACTGTTCTCTGTCATATCTCTGTGATAGCACACTGGATTGTCTGCCAAAGTGTGTAAGTTGATACTTGTTTATGTGTGATCATAAACATGCATTTGTAGAAGCCCATACCCAGTCATGGTAATTAACACAGCTGAAATTACTGAAAAAGTGTAAAAAAAATATTACAACTAAAATTCTCTCAACCACAGTGATAAAATGTGACTGATTTACAAACTAAGTTAACAGTTCACACAACTTACTTTTGTCTGGCAAGAAACACTTGTGAATAAAGTTTAAAAAGTAAATGTCTTTTCACTTGAGTCAGCTGCAAATACCAGGGCTCACATAATGAAAGCAGAATGCATTGGAAAAGATCATACAAGCTTCCCTAGATAAAATGTCAATATCTCTTTTCTACTGCTGATTCTTTCTGATGACATTTTGCCCAATACAGTGACATAAATATGAACATTTTTCCACTCAAAAATTTGCTCCATAGAGATTGCACACAATTACATTTGAGATCTAAAATGAGGATGAGTTTGTGACTAGGGAATAACTACTGACTCTCTGCATCTAAAATAATTCAGTATCTTATATTCCAAGTGAATCACTGAGTAATTTTTTTTTGTATTTCACTTATTATACTTACTTAGCAGTGCTTTTGTAGAACTGAGCAAAGCATATTTAAATAATCTAAAAATGCATGCACTTGAAATTTTATATTGTCAAAACAAATTAGTGTGGTAGGAAATTCTGGAAGCCAACTGTTCTTTCATGTAGGAAACTATTTATGGCTTCTGAAGATTACAGGTGATGAGCTGCATAAATATTTCTCTTGGATAAAATTAATGGTATTCTGTGCCAGGTAACTTTTTCCCTCAAATTAATATGCAGTGGTATATTGCCTAAAGAATTTTTTTTTCAAATAATTATTAGTTTCATAATGATGATTAATGAAAATCCCAGAAAAATTGTGGGCTGATGGCAGTATCTGAGAGTGCTCGATCTGGGCAGATGGAGCACCTGTCTTCTGTTAGGCAGGGACAAGGAAGAGAAGGTCTTGCTTCCTTCCTCCTAAAACGCTAGGTCAAATTATTAACTGATCAAACAGTCTAACAGCAGCTGGAGGAGAGTAAGGTGATAAGAACAGTCAACACAGGTTTGCTCAGTGCAAATTAGTGTAACTTCTTTAAATGAAAAACAGGGTAGATTTTGACTTCGGTTAAGACTTTTGATACAGTTCCACATGCCATTTTGTGGTTTTGCATTTGATTTTTTTCCTTCCCAAAGTGCAGTAACAGGTGTCTTTCCTTTCTGAATTTCATCTTACTTATTACAGGCCACACAGCTAGTTTCTTATGATTATCCATAGTTCTTGCAAATACTTTTTAGTTTCTCCCTTTGGAGAGTTTGAATGACACAGCTGATTATAAAAGGCTGATACTTCTCCCATATTATTCATGTATGTTTTTATGATTAATTGACCCAGGAGACAGAGTACTTGATCTTTTATTGTATGACAATGAAATTTTGATAGCTACTCTCTAAGAACAGTTTTACAGTTAGCTGAGCATCCACAATATTAGAATTTCATCCAGCCCACACCTACTGTATTTTATATTCTCTAATCTCAGCATGATGGACTTTTCCATACAATATGTATGAAAAAAATTACATTCACTACCTTAGAAAGTCATGGGTTCTAAAAACATAAAAACACTGAAAAGTATCAAGACATATTCAAAGAAAAAAACCATATATCCAGGCTATTAAAGGCCAAGATATTACCTTCTAATTCTGATACTTCTTGAGCAGCACCTTTCTTGTATGTTGAGATCTAATACCATTTTTAAAAGTCTAAGAGCCCTTTCTTATGACATCGCAAAGCAGAGTAACACCACCTCACCTAAGAAAGCTGGATTCCTTGACTTCTGAGTCATACTCCAAAGGTTTTTGTATATTCCTTTATGGTCTGCTACTCATTCCAGGCTTTGCATAGCTTGTTTCTGTCACAGGCTTTGGAATGCACACTAGTAACACCTTGATGCCTCACCTTATGGGAAAAGCTTAAGGCATAATCTGCTCAATATAGTCACAGCTAGTCTTTCTGTGAACATTATATAAAGACCAAATGTGGAGCCACAGATGGCAAAATTGGATGTGGGATGGCTAATTTGAATAATATTGTTTTTTATTCTATGCTGGTTTCATGGAGGACGGGGGGATCTTTTCACATGTTTACTTCAGACTTCCTTTCCCTTCAGCCTGTTGCCTTGTCCAAGAAATTGGCAGATTGTTCTTTCTGTCCACTAAGAGTAAGACAACAGCTAAATTATATTAACTTAATTTACTAAAAATTACAAAAAACCCACAGTAACCAATTTTGCTAAAGAATAACTAAATCTGTGGAGTCCCCTTACTGTAGAATGTAAAGAACAGACTTCTAATAAACACATATTTGCCAGAGAACTACTTAGATATATTCCACCGTGCTTCAAAGCATGGCATCAGGTTAGATGTCTTACTGCTGTGACACATTTATGAGTAGGAAATCCATTCAGTATTTCTCTCCAGAGGACACCCAACTTCTTCAGAAGCCAACTGAAAGTAATGGTGCTCTCATTACAAAGTAGCTTGTCTAGTCAGTCCTCTACATGGAATCTGTGTTCAGTACAATGGGTGGGGAAGTCTACAATTGAGTGAAACACATACAGAAAGCTTATACTGTCTCCTCAGAGAGAAGCCAGGGCACCAAGTATGCAATGCTACAACAGATGTATTTCATTAAGTAAATTATGAAGTAATGGTGTAAGCAGGAGTTGAAGTCAAATTATATGAATGAAAGGAAAATGATGATGTGTTTCATTTTTCAATGTCTTGTTTATGTAGCTTTTGCTTAGAGGAAAAGGGATGGAGCTGTAGGCAAAGCATGCTCATAGCAGGCATATCAAGTGATCTAAGGAAATAGAGAGCTATGAAAAGGATGAGATGTTGTTTGCCTTTCCTTGAGGACCACATCAACATTATTCCTATTATGTTGCTACTCCCAGGAGACACATTAAAGGGAGACTTTCAATTTTTTTCCAAGTTTGAACGATATTTTATCTCCTAAATATTATTTTGCTTCTCTGTGAAATGTATCTATTTCAATCTTTTCCTTTAGCATTCATGAGGCTTATCAATGGATGAACCCCAAGGACTCTTACTGAGGCACAGTGCCTCATGACCACCTGACATATGCATAATGGTCAGACACAGTACATTATTTCATTGTGGAATTCTCCAATAGCTGTTTAATTTACAAGAAAATAACTCTACTTCTATAACTGATAGGAGTATCTACTGAAATCCTGGAATTTATTGTTAGTAAAATCTGGCTTCTGCTAGCAAGCAAAATATATTAAAAAATAGCAAGAAAATTAAGTTCCCCCTTCACTTTCTCAGGCTTATTCCCTTCTTCCTTCTGAGTAGTACATAAGACATATGCATCTGACTTAATATTCAATGCTGTCAAGTATTTATTTTTTTTTTTTAAAGGCAAAAAGAGCAGCTGAGAACTTGGGAGTGGGAGGAAATCCTCCCTCCTTAGTTCTAGTCATGAAAAAAAATTACAGGCATTTTCTTGTAGAAATGAGAAGCTACAAAAACTTCAATTGAAAAAACAAATTCATGCTGCTGTTGCTTTAAACAGCAACAATGAAGATTACTGAAATAAAATTGAGGCTACAGAGCAGCATTTTTCTTGAACTGAGAAAGAAAAATTGAAGGGAGCAAAGATATCAATACATCGGCATTTACAGAGGCACAGCAAGTAGTTTAAACCAAAAAGGTATTAAAAACACTCTCCTTGGGTATAATAAAAGTTACCACACATACCAGAAACCAAAGCAGACACATCCACCTCATTATGTACGAACAGTGTGCTCTGAATAACCCCCACAAACTGATAGTACAGATGGAACTGAAAAGATGACAAACCCTATTTATAGAATGGCTTTAATACCATGGAATTTTCTCAATGTAATTTTCATCTGTTTCCACAAAAAAAGAGATGTATTTGTCACTTAAATTACTTGAAGAATAATCATTACTGCAGTATCACAAAGAGGAAATTGTAAGAGGCAGGGATTTCCAGACTTCACAATTTTCACGTCTATTAAAAATAATGTCCCTTTAATTAAAGAAAAAAGGACAAAAAAATACTGTTTACCCAAAAATAGATCTGTGGAAATTTACAAAGATTGGAAGAAGATCTTTGTGACTTTTGAGAGTCTTTATGTCCTAAACTATAAGAAAATATACTTGATAGTTGGATTTAGTTTAATATCTTATAGGTCATATGCAGTTGCTCTGCCGCTGGAAAGGATGTTTTTACCAACACCCTTCTTCTGATATTTAAAAATGGTTGTCTGGTGTGTCCAGTATTGTGAAAATACAGTTGGTATTTAATATATGAAGATAAGAAAAAATTCTAAAAAAGAAGAGAGTATTTACTTGTTTGCAACTTTCCATTCCAAAGGCCTCTCCCACACTTTGTTATTTATTGCTTCTTATTGGTTCTTATTTATTCCTTATTTATTTTATTTTCTTTAGCAATGAATGGTGTATTCACCTACTGAAGCTTTCTCATTTAGTTTGCTCATTTAGTGTGCATTTTTTTCCCAAGTCAACTTTTCTATTTTGAAATGGGAAAGAAAAAAATTGTGCATGGATATGTTTTGTTTTTTTCTAGTAGCAGCTTCTGTGCTCAGTGGACAGCAAAGTTATACGACCTACTCAGGAACTTCCCCATTATGAAAGGACACCTGCTTGTCCTTGCAAGAGACACCACAGTCTAGCACAACATGGGACAACCTTGTTCTAGCACACTGGCTTACTTTTCCAACAAGCTGAGTTAGAAACATTTACTCCCACATTTTTAAATGGCTGAAGAATTTTCCTCATTTTTTTTGTAAGCTCCTACAGAGAACGTGTCATTAAAGCATGCCCAGGAAGATATTTCTACATTTCTCCAGCAATGCTGCCTGCCTCCCAGCAGGCACATGAGAAGACTATGAGATTTGAGTAAACTGGTACCAAGTCAAGTCATTCTACCAGATGAAGTAATTTATGAATTATCACCTAACATACTTCAGGTCTTGCTGTTCCTTCCTTCTTCCCCTTCACTCAAACAGAGCACCTCAGGATACATCAATTTCTAATGCTCCCTTTATGCAATTAAAACTTAAATAACTTAAAACTTAAATCTTAAATAAAAAATCTCAAGCCACAAAACTGAGTTTAGGATTAAACCTAGAAACAATACTTTCAATTGCCTTATCAACCATTACACTTAATTCTCAAGATACTATTCTGTTTATATTTCAGCCTGTATAAGGAAATAAAATTGGACAGCTTAAGTCTCAGCTTGACAGGGTGCTGTGCCATTTCATATAAACTATAATATTACCTAGAAAGATTGGACCAGATGACCCTTGAGCTCACTTCCAACCTGGAATTCTATGATTCTATGAAAAGCAGTAATTTAAATATCAAGCATGTTAATGGATTTTTATAATCATACTTACAGAAAAAAGAGCAGCCAAAGTCTCAATAGCACCAGTACTTAGAGTAACATAGGGGATTGTTTCAGGATTGATCCCAGCTTCAAGGAAGATGTTGTGTGTGTAGTACCAGATCTATATGAGAGAAAAGAAAACCAGTTATTAATCATTATTGTTTGAACTACAGTATATCAATATTCAATTCAAGCATCTGATCTGCCAGAGACTGGACTTACTGAGTACTCTCAAAGGACTGAGGTCCAGGAAGGACAACAATTGAAAGAAAGGTACAAATTTCAGGTGGGTTAGTCACAACACTGTGGTTCTTCTGCTTGCAGACTCAGGCAGAATTACAAGCAGCTTTAACTCAATTTAGCTTAATTCACTTTAGGAGTAAATCAAAGAAACTCACTTAAAGCCTGACCAAGAGGATACACAAATCAGTGTCAAGTGGCTGAGCCACACTGCATGAAAAGCAGGCTTGGGTGGCTTTATGGAGTAGTTCAATGGCATGAAACAACAGAGGAGAGAACAGGGAAGAGATGCTGAGGACACTGCAGAAACTGCTCTTTTCAGGCAGAAGATGTGAGAATTATTCCACTTCAACCTTACTGGAGTGTGGACATTTGTAGTCAAGCCATCACCCTAATCTCTCTTTATTATCAGTAGAAAGAAAAATTACTTTTGGAGTGAAGTCTTTTGGTGAAAAGTAAACAGCTGGTTTTGGGATTAAATGAATCACAGGCTAGAAGGAGCTGTCACTAACAGACAGAAGTCAAGGGACCAGAGGGTTACCAGCTTAGAGGAAGCCTTTGTGTTTGGTCAGTACAACCATACCCAGTGGTGACAATATCCAGATGGAGACTATATAGTGGCAATACATTAAAATAAAAAGTCTGGTAAGTATCAGAGTCCCATTCACATCACAAATAAAGTCTGAAAATGGTATTATATTTATGTTGGGCTCAAGTTCACAACAAAGAACTAGCCAAAGATTTTGGCTACCAAAAGCATGCAAGGAGAGACTGTCTTGGAGAGAAAAAAGTCTCCCTAAAATTTCTTACTAGTGAAGGTGAAAAACAAATGAAACAACTGATTATCAGAAGAAAAGTTCTAAAACACAACTGGTTGCCTGTGACAACAAAACTGAAAGCCAAAGATAATAATGGCACTAAACATACAAGTACCAGTGATATTTTTTTCCACACGCTGTCCATGCGACAAGTCCTAGCAGGGTGGGCACTGCTAAAGGAAAAGCTTGTGTGATGAATAGAAGCATTTTGATTGCATGAGGAAATGTCTGCCAGCATATTAGGCACATGTTACATCTGTTAATCAAGCTACTTTGTAAAAAAAAAAAAAAAAAAAAAAAAAAAAAAAAATCACCTATGACACCTTACATGAAGAGAAGCTGACTTAGATGACTTAAGACTTTTGTGCCTGCTGCTGGCACATCAGCTCTCACCAGGATAGACACATTAACTACAAGTGATAGCAGCAAGATTCTCTGTATGAAGAAATCTGCCTTTGTGTAACATGCACTGCTGTCAGTTGTGCATTTCATTGCCCTGCTGATAGAGAGATCAGACTGAAGGAAAACTAACTCCCAGTTCCTGCTATAATGGTTATGACAACTGATAATTTTTTTCAGACCCAGTACTCTGACAACCTATTCACCTCCCATATTCCTAAGCCAGTGATTATAAGGAAAACAAGATAGCACAAAAACACAATAAAAGTAACTTTTTTTCTCCATACAAGAAGTTACAGGATTGAAAAAATAATGCATGGAAGTTCAAAATAATGCGATTTAGGATTTTCAGTCTCAATATCAGTTTTTCATAGCAGGGAGCGCTAAAAATGGTGGTGAGAATGCAGGTATGCAGACCTTGAAAGAGAGGAAGGAAAAGTTCAGAGTCACTCAAGCAGAAAACTCCCAGATGCAATTTGCCAAAATGTACAACTAGAACATAAGACTTTTGACAGATGGTTTTACAGAAGAGCACAAGTGAGTATGGATGATGGCAAGAGTGATAGTAACACAGATAGATTAAAAAACTGGCAGAACAAAGATAGGATGATGTTCACTGAGTTATTTGCCTCTGTACCAGCACGAAAATAAATTAGGGTAAAGATTAGCAAGATATACACATTTGAAATCAATAAAAGTGAATGTTTTTCAGCCTGTGTATCATTAAACAGGGAAATACATTGCTCCAAGATATTACCAAGACAAATTTTCTAGGCTAATGATTATTATTATACTTTCATTAAGTTATATTTCTAACATGGTTTTTGTTACCTAATTATTTGGGCTGAAAGTTTTGGAACAGAAGAGCTGTGGAAAACAAGGAAGGAAGGTTCAAAACTCCAGACATAACTGCTCTCTAGTCCAAATCAACACAGGGACATCTGACTTCCAGCCTTCATAGTGGGTTTCTGTGGCTTCCCAGGCTGAAGCAAAACTTCCCCACTTCATTCAGTTAAACAGCTGCCATGAGGAACAGCTGTATCTCTGCAGGCTGAATTCTGTGAGTTTGGAAACATTTTGTTTTGTTTGCTTATCACAAGCCTTTACTCTTATAAGCTCTTAGCTTAAAGTGCCATGTGGTATACATTATCAGATGTGCTCCCAAATATTTTCAAACAAGGGACTCCTCTAGCATCAACTCAGTTTTCCAGTCCTTTTACTTCTCATCCAGCTCCCTACATACATTTCTTCCTAAGAAATTAATCTCTTCAACAGGAAAAGAAAGCAAATAAAAAAAATTACGGGAAGCAACACACACACATATTTTGTTGCACACTGGATGCATACTGCATAGTCATCCCTTCCTACACTACCTGATGCCAGGTCTTGTCTACAGCAAGTGTGAAATGCACACTCTGGTAGGGCTTTTGAATCCTGAAAACATGCACTGGTGCATGATCTGCCCACCCTTTGCATAATTTCTTGCCATTTGCAGTACAGTCCCTGCCTTAAGGACTGAACACAGAGAGGCTTAGGGATCCTACCTGGGAATGATTCTGCCACAGCAATATGTGGTGCAGTATATTTCTTCATATGAAAAAGGATAAAGTTCACCAGTGAGAACTTTGCTGAAGTTTTATGTCTTATTTAGAACTGAGATATAATGGTGGAAGATAAATAAATTCATTATGGCTAATATGTATCAAGAATAGATTTTATCAGATGAAAAGATACTAATACCGATTAATTTATTTATGTCAACTTAGGTCAGACTATCTGGTATTTCATTATAATTGAATATATGAATATGATCAGAGTTTCACATTTGTTCTGTTCCATGTGAAAACAAAAAAATTTCCTGTTTTTAAGCAAAATAAATTTTTATTGTAAAATAAAGCCTTAAAGGAAGCAAGTGTTCTCATATACCAGCAGGATGATTGCGTAAGTCTGCCAGTTGGGAATTTCCCCTGAGAGTGACCTGAGACTCTCACCTGAAAGAAGACCAATTTTCCCATATGCCCTGCCCAGATGGCAGTTGTGGAACAGACCAGATTGACTAACAGGGAACTACAAACAAAACAAAAGGGTCTGTGAGTTAGAAGGAAGCTTCAGCAGCCAGTTAAGCCTTACTGGGGCTGGCTCACTGCCAGCAAGTTACCTCAGATGAGCCAGGACAAACTGAGACTGGGGCTCCTCTCTCGCCCCGTCATCTCTGAGCTTCAGGTAACTTGAGCAAGATCAGCCAGGAAAACCTTGCAAAAGAGACAAGGAGTTGAAACTTGACCTCTTCATCAAACGGTCCAACTGTTTGACTTGACCTCTGTCATAATTTGCTTTTTTTTTTTCCTGGATGAACTATTTAAAAAAACAGTTTCAGAATGCAAATTTTGTGTGAATAGTTTTTTTCATGTTTAGTGGCATTATGTGAGAAGAGAAACAAGCAGTAACTAAAAATAGGTGAGGCTTAAAACAGCTGACTTGATACACAGGTTTCCTGACAAAAGTACTTTTCCTGAGATATACTTTCACCAAGTGGTCACCCAGTGACACTTTAAAACAACTCTGGTATTCATTTTATACTGGACATGTCTCATTATCCCTCCATGCCTGAACTTCAGCTGTGAGAATGTAGCTTTGTCTTCTACTAAACATCCTCAAAGACACAAAACTCTTTTCTTTACCTTGAAAAAGTATATATATTTTTTTTTTTAAGGCAATATGTTTCATAATTCCAACAGTCAATTTCTTACTCAAAGTGCCATTTTATTTCCCTCATGCATTGGTAAGTCTTAGTAAGACTGGGTAACTAGATAATTCCATTTATTTTCTTTAAAAAGTACCCACAATGAGGAACAGAATAGCCTGCCATTAGAACTAAAACCCTACAATTAGAAGAAAACACCATCTATACAAACATTTTTTTATAGCTCTCTCCACAGTATGAAAAAAGTCTTCTAGCTCCTTTTAGTATTTCATTAAAAACTTACAGACACAAGAGTTCCAACCGCATTAGTCTTCCAAAAGGTCTTGGACAAATTACTTCATATTAGGAATTGTAAAACTATAGAGATACCTGAAATATGCCTGAACTAGTTGTCTTAGATATCACAAGAGTTTACACTGATTAGCCCTGGGGAAACAAGTAGCTGAAGCAAGCTGCAATGCATAAAGCCGCAGTGAGATCTCCTCTTACTGCCTTTCATGCATGTAAGTAATTAACACCTTTGAACTATGTCGAAAGCCCCTTTTGCTTTGAGGTGCTTCATGAGAACATTCATGTTGTGCAATGTAAAGCCTCTAACTCAGGTGTCACAAGCTGCAGCATGGCAAGTCCTGGCTGAATATTAAAAACCCCACTTTTTGCAGTGTAAGTGGTGAAAACACCTGGTGTAGGTTGCCTAGGCAGGGTGTGGGCTCTTCAGCTGTGAAGATATTTAAAACTCAACTGCACAAAGCCCTCAGTAGCCTGAGTCAACCCTGAAGCCAGTCCTGCCTTGGGCAGGGGGTTGGACCAGGTGACCTCCAAAGACCTCTTCCAATCTACAGTGTCCTGCGACCCTCCCCTAGCTGGTGCAATATGCTCAGACAGATGCAGAAGGAAGCTCTGATATCTATTAGTCTCAGACACACAGCCAACAGAACTTCTTGCTATTGACTGTTCTGTGTCTTTTTCCCTGTTTTGCTGTCCTTTCCAAAAAGAGCATACTGAAGCACTGCTTATCCTTCAAATTTTATGGAAAAGCAATGAAAACCAAACATCCAGCTCAACCTCTTAAAATCACTCACAGGAACTTTTGCTGACTTCTGTAAGTACAGAACTAAATTAATCCAGGCAGAAACGTCTACTGAAAAGACCAGGTTTAGTCTGACATGAACAAATATGGGGCATATCAGACCAGCTCTTAACTGACCAGAAACAGAGAATCTGAGTATCAGAAGCAGAAGCTACACACTCTTTGCTTATCTGTGCTACCTTTTAATGTATTCCTTGCAAGTTAAGAAAACATGGCTTCCCCTCCTTTTTTAAAAACAACCATCCAACCAACCAACAACCAAACAATACAGCTCTCCCTGGACCTTCCCACGTGCTGCTGTAACAAAAGCTTTACTATTGAAAAATAGCCAAAGACAGAAAGGTGAAGAGGTTGCTGAATGGCACAGCACAAACTTCCTATTAAAAAGAAAGGAAGAAGCATCCCAGGTGATGCCATGGCCTGGAGATGGACACTTACAGCATTCAGCCCACAAAGCTGGTAGCAGCCCATGGCGACAACCGTGGTAGCAATCTGCCATCGCACGGCGCGGGTCCTCAGGAGCTGCAGTATCGACACTAACTTGGTGTTTCTTTGGGCTCGAGACTCAGCCAGAACTTCTTCTATTTCTTGAGACACATCATCTTTCCCAAGGAAGGTCTGAAATGCTACAAAGAGAGAACATGTGCTTTAGGCCAGACGCTTGGCAATGTGTGTGTTTATAACAGTTTTGATTCATAGACATGGAAATGCGTGACACAAACAGGAGACGTATGTGGGTCACAACTTCATTATTCTTCTACCAAAGATCATTCTGCTCTGGTTATGATCAGGCTCATTCCTGCAAGTGGTCTTAGAAACTGCAACAAGAATATAAATTATGTGACACCCTACCAGACCTCTCCTTATATTATGTCAGACATAATGTAGCCTAAGGTCCAGTGCAGAGTAAAAACCCTGTGTAATCTGAGAAAAAGATTTAATATCAAAACATCTCTGAACATTAATTGACGTGGCTACTTTTGCAGCCTAACAATGTAGCAGACTCCATTGCTGGGGATAGATTGGACAGAGAAGTAATAACATATTAAAACATACGTAAGTCTGGGAAACTTCCAAGCTGGGAAACTTGCTGAAGGAAGAAAAAAAATCAGTAAAAGTGGCTTCATCCTGGCTCAAACCAGGACAGTCAAGCTGATTAATATTAGAAAGAATTGCCCATATCAGCTCAAGATTTTCTGTTTGTCAGTGCTGGAGACATGGGAGTGAATTTACCTAACAAATGTAAGCAAATGAATAACCTTGCCTCCCCAGAAATAACATACCATTTAGTACTATATTGTTGCACTTCAATGACTTACTGAGATATTCTTCCACTCTGAGTAATAAAAGCTTTCTAGCTCACACCTCTTCCAAGAGGTATGACAAACAGATACCTCCTAATGGAGGCTTCGTGTCCCCACCAACCTTGTTTTACAGATGCTGAATATGCTGATGATGCTTTTGTCTTATGAACGTGCCCCAGGGGTTGGCTTTTTAAGGGATATTTAAAATGCACATAATTCTGAAATGACTGCAGAGAAACAATTACATTACACATACCCCTGCAACTCACCAGGATTCTAACTCTAAAAACAATCCTCTACACAGCAGGTCACTTAAAATTGTTATTTTTATTAAGTGAATAAGTTGATTTAGTTCTTCTAAGAGTCGAATCTATTTTTCTGTTATTCACAGCTCTGCATAGCACTGCCTATAAATTATTGACCTTCACATTTTCCAGTAAATATACATTATTTTGGATCACAAAAAGGACTTGGATGGTCAAGAAAGCTGAGACACTCAGTAGACCTGGTTAAAATGCCCAGACTCCATTTGGGTTTTGTAGTTATAAAATGTTATTTTACACAGCATGTAAAAAGGCCAAGTAGTAGCATTTCAATGTTGTGAGGGATATTTGACACAAATGAACTGGTGCACCCCTCCCCCCCGGAGCATCTCTTCCTGTCCCTTTGGCTGGTGCACAAGGCTGTGCACTCTGCCTGGCTCCCAGCCTGGCAGCACAGGGAAGTAACTCAAGCTCTGGGACAAGATCTTCAGAGGCAGTTAGCACTTCTGTCGCATTTTAATGGACATTGCATGACTCTGTTTAACAAGAACAATGATTTTTTAAGGGATGAACACTGACCACCTCTGGCTGTTCAGTCAATTCATAACATTCATTTATTCTGATACCCAGTTTTTCTCTTGGGAGAGGAGTTCAGAATTTTTTAATCCCTCAGCAACAGCATGAGATTCATCTTTTCACAGAGGCCTTACAATCAGAAATGAGCTAAGAAATTCGGACCTCAGAACCCAGACTTGAGGCTGTTGAGTTCTGTCCTTGTGCCACTGCCCACTTGTTATTAAATGACATGCTAAATGGTTATTAAACTGAGTGTGATGTATTTAAAGGCTACGATAAGAAATGTAAAACAATCTGTGCCTATGGTATGTTGCAGTCAATGCCTCCCACCTAAATTACACTTTCCTTCATATTGGTATAACACTGATACAGAAAAAATCAGATAATGATGAGAACAACCAGACATGTATCACCGTATTCTTTGAGAAGATTCTCTTAGATTTTTAAGCATCTGGTTTATCAGTGTAAATTAGGTCAGTGCACAATTTTCTTTTTTTCTTCTGTCCTCAGAATCCTTGGAATTCCTGTAGGGCACACGAGTCAAAAATATAGGTGCAGTCAAGTAAAAAGAAAACAATCTGTCTTTTCTGCACAAGAGAGCTTGCTACATTTCTAGAGGGACCAGGAGGAAAAAAAACTGCAATTACCAAAATTATAAAATATAAGAAAAATACAGGCATCTGCTTTCTTTTTCTTCTTTCCCTGGTATTAGGACTAGAGAGGTAAGCACCACTAGGAAACTTTGACAGATACTTAAAATTACCAACAGGTCAAGAAATGTTAGGGAAGTGCTATGCTATGGTTGCATAGTTTTGAGTAGACAACACTCAGCCTCCTTGGAAAAACAGATTTTCCTCCTACTCAGCACATCTTTAAGTTTTCTTCCATTAACAGTTTTTCAGTACAGTAAGAATCACAATTTTATACATAATTAATGTGGAAATAAATTCTGCATTCTCAGGGAGATGGGAAAATTCAAAGGTGTCTCAATGTGTGATGTTCAATTATCTTAATTTCACATTTTAAACCCCTGCACTATTGGCCCTGAGAAGCACACCAATCATTCCTTTCCCTGCTGCAATGACTCATTTTCCTCTGTGACTCGCTGCCTGTCTCTATAGGGAAGTCTTATTTTCACATCACACTTCCATCCATCCAAAAAGTTACACTTCTGGCAACTTTTAGAACTTTCCCAGATATCTTTTTATTTCCCTTGGATCAGAAGGTCCTGAATGCTTGGTTTTCAAAAGCTGGTACACTGCCTTTATAAATAGCACAAGGAGAGGGTGGTTCCTGTCAAGGGGAAAGGAGCTAGGAAACCCTTCTGTTTGCACCACCAGCTTTCATTCATCTCAGCCAAGTGAAGGTGAAACCTTTGAAAGCAGTTCAAAAGTCTGAACAAAACCAGGGTGGTTATGCCTTTAAAAGCAATCAGACCTTCAAATTAACACAAAATGGACACTCAAGGACTCAACAACATGGGGAATTACTAAATCTTTTCCTACTGTATTACTACCATGACTGTGTAAAGAAATCAGCTGCTATTGTAAAGACTTAATTAGGATGTAAAATTTGAGAAGACATTTAAAAAGATCAAAATGCTATTGGATGGCTTACAGAACAGAACCAGGCCCAGGCAAGAGGATGCAAAAAAAGAAGTGGTAACAGTAGATTGCCTTTAAAAACAAAACCAAACAAAAAACCAACAACAAAACCAAAACAAAACAAACTAAAAAAAAAAAAAAAAGACTTAATACTTGTTAAAAATATTTCATAGGTCAGAGTTTAATATCTCTGTTGACTATGTATTTGGACTACTTAAAAAAAAAAAAAAAAAAAAAAAAGCTGCATATATATTATTCTCATCTGCTTCCCATGGGCATGTTCACTTTCACATCATTGATAATTAAGTCGATTAAACCCAGTGTCTTTAACACAAAGCTTTGTCTAAGCTCTGTTTAAACAGCATCTTCTTTGGCCACTGTGGGAGACAGAATACCAGGCTGGATGGACCAAGTCAAGCATCTCCTATTAATGCTGGCTTCTCTTCTGAGTGGTAGTAGACACACAGGGTGCCTTGCTGTTTGCCTCAGCACTTGCAAATGCTTCAATGCTTTTGCATCAGATCTGAGCTAACATCCTTGTAGTAACTTTTTATCAACACAATATTAGTTGGCAAAATAAATATGTTATTTTAATATACCTCTAATTTTATTAGAGTACAGAATAGCCAGAAGAATTCTTTAGATGTGCCTTGCTAGAAGAGATTCAAACAGCTATTTAAATGTAGCAAAACATCAATTAACTGCTAGCATGTAGCATAGCAACATTTAAGAATAAGCCTCAAATTTGCAATTCCAATTCAGTAAATATATTTGCAGGTAAAAGGCTCAGGCTTTCCCCACCAGTCACTTCCTTTTAAGCAAACAAACAAATAGATCTTTTCTGATTTATCAGTTTTGGGATCACATCTTCACCTGTTCTTACATCTGGTTTAACAGACCATCAATACAAAACAGGCCTGTTCAGGTTCACTCGAAACTAGCCAAGATGTACAGGTAGAAGAAAATATCCCCATACCACCATAAAACAACACAAGAATTGGCAAAACAAGTGGTATCAAAGGTCCAGTGAATCAAGATACCTCTGTCAAGAGCAGGGGGCTTAGGAAAAGATTACAAATAAGACAGACACACTGTTGTCTCTTGGAAGTCAGCACCCATCTGAGATGGAGCCTCTACCATAAGCCAGCAAATCTAGTAGTCATGATTCTCTTCCTTTCTTAAGCACAAATTATAATATTTAGAGACAAACAAAAAGCATAGATAGGCAAAAAGAATTTAAACCTACATGTCTTATTATACCTGTTGTAATGCTTCTTTCATAACCACAGGAGTTTTAATGTATGACTGAATATACTAGATGAACAGATCTTGTTTATCACCAATAGATGTTATTGTGACATTTCATCTAAGTTACTTGACCCTTAAGACATAAAAATATTCTTGTTCTCTGGCAAGCTGGAATGCCAGCTGAATTCTATAATTGACTTAGATGTCCTGCTACTGCAGCCACAACAAAATGCAGATTTCCTTCTTGTAACAGTATTCTTCAAAAGAGAGACATCAACTCTCCAGTTGAAAGGGCTTATAACCAATGTCGTTAATCATAAAAATGTTCCATTTTATCACACTACTACTGCTTTTATCTACATTGCATCATTATCACAGTCAGAGACCAGGGAATCACTTTGCACAAAACTAAGACAACTAATATAAAATTCTGACCTGGAGCTTGGATGGTAAACGGCCTGATGTAATTACAGCAGCAGGTTTTTCTTTTTCTTCCTGTCTCTGTCCCTGCTACTCTTCCCTCTCACTGCTCTCTAGCAACTGAATAATGATCTCCTTCCAAGGTCCTTGTCCTCAACCATTTAAATAACCATTTCTCCTCAGCTGCCTGGTGAGCATTATGAAGAAGGATCACATTAGCTGAATGCCATGCATTTTTCTCCCTTGTGTTCTTACCAAGAGAGAAGAATGTTAGTTATGGGACCAGAGAGGGGAGCTGGGATACTTCTTCCCTCTACCCATTACCAGACTTAGAGCTTTTGAGCAAAGCAGGTGTACAGATCTTGCTGTTGGTTCAGTCAATCATTCTCTCCCCCAACATATAAATGAGTTATTTCATATTCAGCAGTGAAACAGGAGTATGGGAGATGACAGCTCAGCTCCTGTTTCTCTCATGGAGTTGGACACAGGATGTGGACCTCCAGGAGGACAATCAGAGCTCAGCTGCTAGCACTGCTTTTGGCAGCAGACAACTGCAAGTCAGCCACAGTCTCCCAGAGTGCACTGTTCGTACTGTTAGAAAGGGGAAAACAGGGAACTGGGCAGCTCCCTGTTAGTGGAGCTCAGGAGACATCATTTGTCTGAGGCCTCACTACTCCTCTTGGTGGTGTAATTTATGTTCACAGATGATGCCCACCTGCTCTAGCCTCATCCCTTCTCTTTTTAATCACTCACGCAACACATTTTGGTCCTTCTCCCCCTTTCACTCTCACATTGGTGACTTAGAGGCATCGTGCTTTTCCATACCTCTAGTAAAAAAATAAAAAAACATAAAAAAAGAAAGCAAGAGAAAAAAAAAAAAAGAATAAGACTGCTTTAATTTTGGTAGTTACAGTCTGATTATCTCCTGAGGGCAGAACAGAAGGAGGGGATGAAAGCTGGAGCCAAACTTAGTGGAAACTCAATGACTTGTGTTAGCCCACTGGGTTTTTATTGCTTTAAAACGGTTTGGAAGATTAATGTTGTCATCTGCATTTTAGAATCTTTGACATACACGTACATTTTATAGTATTTTATAAAGACTAATGTAGTCATCTGCCTTGAGTCCAGCAGACCTTTTACAAATAACAGTTTTATATTCCTGAAACACGATATAATCCATAGTGAAATGTATATTTGCATGAATAGCCTTGATCAGTTAGAGGGAAAAAAAAGGATTTAGTCAGAAGAAAGTCTTGTACATTTCTGATATTAATATGCAGATCTAGCCTAAGAGGAAAGTAATTCAAATGCATTACTGTAGTCATAATTAAAATGGAGAATGCTGCATTATATGGCTTACAAGCAGCAGATTTTTTTAATAACCCACAGCCTCTTCTGTTGTCCCTAATACTCAGGCTTTTCCTCCCCCATTTCTGCAGATACTGCTAACATCCAGATGACTTTTCTTGATTGTTGATTCACAGTTATTCACCCTCCTATTTTGCATATTTCCCCCACTTGATTTCATTATTCCACTGCATTACCCCAGATACTTGGGACTTGGATCATGCCTACTCTGGATTTCTCCACATGCCCTGGGTAGGAGGGAAGGCCCCAAACCCCGGCCTGGACTAACATCACAGGTGTCCTCAGCCATGTTCCATGAATCAACCAAACTCCTTCCCCACCTATGCCCATGCTGAATATACAGATCCAAAGACAGTCTCACTTGCAGATCTACATTAGGAGAGGAAGGATTACAAAGGATGTGCAATTGTAAGAAAATTACATGTGTTCCTAACATGCTTCATGATAACACACGTGGATACTTATAACCATAAGTATAAAATTATATGAACTTTGCTGTCTTACAGGAGGATTTCTGGATGATTAACTGCAAAATGATATTTCAGAATCATCTTTACCTATTCTGCAGCTGGTAGGTAGCCTGTAGAATATCATGCCCACACAACAAGGTTCTGGAAGCATGGTTCCTTGATAGGCAAGGAATGGTAAGGAAATTCAGAGGGATGTATCCACCTCACTGTCCTATGGTCCTTTGCAAATCTCTGTCTAGAATCATTGGTCCCTAGCTGTTTTGAAAGCTCTGCAAACTACACTTAAAATGAACTTCACTCTGTACAATAATTTATCTCAGTATTAATTTTTTATTTTAGAGTTAATCAGGTCCAAAAACGTATACTGGTAAGCAGTTATTTTTAAAAGCTTTTTATATCAGCCAGCTTTTCCTCTGGGAGTGTCTAAATTTATAGCCTTTAGGGTGGCTCATGAAAGTGACCTTCCTCTTGGCTAGTTGTTGTAATTTCCTTTCTTTTACCAAATAAGGTGTGGGTAACTCCATTCTCCTGTTGTCTTCTACTCCAAAATCTACCTCTGATGCTTCTAGATTAACTTTCAAATCATTTTCAGAACATCCCAGACTGCAACTGGCACATTACCAGAGCAACAGTGTGACTGCAAGGCAGGTGGTATTAATTCACTGCCAATTAAAAAAATGTTTAAAACTCCACGTATGAGCACCCAGCTTTGCTGTCAGTGCTGAGGTTTCCAGGTACTGTGGCAGTATTTCCAACAGATCCCTGTAACGAGTGTGACATTATGCAATAACATTGCAGATGCAGATTCTTTGCCAGCTATAGCTCTGGAATTACATTTACAATTTAATCAGGTACAAAATGAGCCAGTGTAAACTTGGCATCCAGAGGCATTTCTTCCCAGCCCAGCTGTGGTGCTGCAGAATCACAGCCCTGCAGCCAGCCCCGAGCTGCTCACCACTGCCTCCCTGCTGGGAGCTCTGGCCACGACTGGCAAGAAAACCCTTTTTGTCACAGTCCCTAGAAAAGCCATTCTCTGCCTTACCAAACCTCTGCTGACTCTGTAAAGCTAAAGAAGTCTTCCCAAAGCCTTGCTGCTTTTGCTCTTTCATCTGTTTTGGGTGGGTTTTTTTGTTTTGTTTTTTAAACATTGAACTGTATCTTTAAACATTTGAGGCTCCAACATTTACAAAATTCTTCAACATCAAACTGAAACAACACAGGAGTCTCTCCATTAAGATGCCATTTCTATTCAAGGGTGCTGATCAGAGCAAAAAAAGGAAGACACAGGACAGAGTGAGATGCATTAATTTCATGCTAAAAGATTATTCAATTTACGTTTCAGAGGCTGATTCACACTTCGTAAGTAATTTTGCAATCTACTTAATGACTGAAAATGGTCAGGATTTTATTCAAACAAAATATTTAGGAATAGTTTTTAAAGCAGTTATGTTCTGCAAACATTTTGGCATTACAATGAGGCTCCTTCCTTGTTTGTACAGTCCTATTTTTAACGTGTCCTTATAATAAGCAAAACCAAATTTTCAACATTCTCTCAGCCACAGCATGATGATATATTGGAACTGACCAGAACAATTTGACTGGGGCAGAGTACACAGCAGCTGTGATCATACAAACAGATTCTTTTATACACCTAAAGTAAGAACAAATTACTCTGGTCTGGGTCTGTGAAACTGAAGCAAGCTATATGGAAGCACTGAATTTTCAGTTAAATATGTGCAGGAGGTTTTTATTAGATCTACCAAGTTTATTGAGTAACAGAAGCACAGGGTTAAATACAGTGACTACTGAACAAAACCCAGCAACAGAATCAGTGTTTTTGTTAGACAAACTGGAAAGACTGTAGGTGAGGGAGAGAAATTGAATTCTGAAATCACCTCAATGACCCTGTATATAGTGGCTGACGTTCAACATCTGGGTGATTTGGCTGGGTTTGAACCACTATGGATAGTGCTACAGAGGTTAGTTTGTTTGAAAACTTCATTTTTGAAAAAAAGAAAAACCCAAATCAAGGCAACAGTGATATTTATATACACATAAACAAAAAAGGTAAAGAAAAAATAATTGACAAGAGAATCTCTCCTATTGGAATATTCTGCTTTTTCTGTGATGTCAAAAATACTTTCCAGCCTGCATCCTCACAATAAACACCTTTTGTTGCAAAAAAAGTAACACATCATACCTTTTTCTGCCTTGCTTGTGTTATGTTTTTCAAGTAGGAGGTAACGTGGACTTTCAGGAAGAAAGGGAAGAATCACAACTTGTATCAATGAAGGGACAAGGATCGCTCCAAATAAATAAGGCCACCGAGATTCCTGCAAACAGGTGCAAACATCAGTCAGAAATACTCTCCCATAGGGATACTAGAAAGAAAAATATCTTTGATGGGAAATGCTGTAACTTTTCATCATTCAAAATATTGTGTCAGTGGGCAGAGTGATGACTTCTGCCACAGCTTAGTAAGCAGTTTGAACAGTTCCCCCTCAGATCACCTTACCCAAGAGCCAAGGTAGACAGCATTCAAGCCATAAGTGACTAAGCATGAAGACAGAGGCAGGGAAGCTGCAAAGCAGCAAAACACGTTCTTCCTTTCTTTCAGTATCAACAACTATACCTGTAAAAATCTGATACATATACATTCTACAAGTCAACCCCACTCACAGTGTTATCACTTATTGACTTTAATAAATAGTACAATAATATTTTCAAATAGTTACATGTTTTCTCTTAGTCTAATCTAATTGATCTAAATATAGAGATATTTGTCTCAGTCCTCTAATTGGCATAGTATGTGTAAAATCCTGATAACAACTCAGCTAAGCTACAGTTCAGCACAGTTTTGTGGCTCTTGGTGTAATCCAGGCAGTGACCATTCAGCGTTTCTCAGCTGCTGGGAATGAACTGAGTTGGGCTGAGTTCTCTCCACAAGACTCTTCTGCTTGGTAAAACACATTTGTCTCACAGGTACAACTAACACACAGTCAGGCAGTTCTCATTTCCATTCAGAAAAGAAGACACATACAGGTCAACAGAATTAGAGTGAAGGACAGCTACATCATTTAACAACAAAACCAAAGTGAGGTTGTCTTTAGGAATGTTTTCTCTTGCAGCCAGTACTTCCACCTAACTGAAGTATAAGAACTGGGTTTCACCTGTCTTCCTGCCCAAAATAACAGGACTTTTAAGAAGTCCTTTAGTTTTATGATAGTGTAACTAGGAAGAACACATTATACTGTTTCCCACTCTGAGTTAGCTAACCTGTCTTTAATGTTCCAATGAAAAACTGACAGCCTCATTCCCAAGTCCATGAAACAGAAAGTTCTTTTTCTGTTGTCTTGCAAGTGATCTGCTGGAACTCTCCAGCAAGGACCTGCAACATGAGAACCACCCACAGCATCCCTACTGATGCAAAGCACTGATGACCCCTCTGTGGGGATGCCCCCATGCAGAAGTCAGGCAGTTCTAACCTGCCAGAGCTCCCCTGCAGTGTAGGGGAAGAGCAAAAGGTGCTGCACTATCCAACATTATTAATATGAACCTACTCAACTCCTAGCTGATTTCAGATACAATCCAGCTTTGATTATCTTATTTGAAATCAACTAAAACAGTTGTTAACATCCTCAAATATATTCATTACCAAAAGAAGCTACGGAGGGTGACCTGAGCAATGCTCTTTCAGGAAAAGCCTGGGAAAGGCAGCAGAGAGCTCATCCAGCTCTCTGAGTTTACTCTCAAGACCAGATACTTTCAAGTAGCTGAAGGAAAAAGGTGCCAGCAAAATGGCCCTTGATGTGTCCATGTTCTTAAGATGCCTTCTGTTCCAGTTGAATGCTAAGATGAAAATTTTCAGTCATTTTCTCCAAGTTCAGCTTTCAACTATTCAAATCCTTCCTAATTTAAGACCTCATTCTTAATTGAAAAGACTGCTGAGACTACTGTTCAGGCATCATGTCTAGCACATTTCCAGAAGCTTGGCTAGATCAAAACCAGACTGTGCTTCATCCTGTCTGATTGAGCTCCAAGAGGCACTGAGGGTTTGGATCCTGTCCCTCCATCAGGAAAAATCCATCCATCCACGAGCCCACATTTCCCTAAACAGAGCTGGATAAGTTTTATTCTGATATAATTTTCAAGAGTTAGATCAAATACCAAAAGCTCCTAAGCTGCTTTCTGTTAACAGTTTTTATTTTAGATTCTCCTACTTCACCAATGCAACCCCTAAACCACGAACCTGAATGGGGCCTGAGATAACATGGAACACAATACGTGTGCTATCTCTTGGTGAAACTTCTCACTTGTCCTTTAAAGAGGATTTGAGATTTTTTTTTTTAGATCTCCTGGGATGGTAAAACATCTTGGGAAACAATTAAAACAATTTAAAGCTCAAGGTTATCAGTCTTCCTTAGAGCCTCCCTTACCATGAGGACTCCAAGATCCTATTTATTTACTCTGAATTTATGTTTCTAAATTAAGTTGTGTGGAGAACTTGACCTAATATAGGAGAACCAAGAGTGGTTAACAATCTGTTTATAAACAAATGAGGCTCCGTCTTATTTTAAAAATTAGAAAATTAAACATGTTAGGACTATAAGATCAGTTAATAAATCACATTTAAAAATAGGTACCTTTTTGTAAATAATAACTTCAGAAAACAAGTAGTACAACTGATCAGTTCCAGCTTGTTCTTTCATACAAAGTCCTTAAAAAAATTATTTAATCTCTAGCATTATTTCCTATAATATAAATATACTTGCAAAGTACCATATAAAAAAGTTCATATGGCCTTAGAATTTTTTACAATAATTCTAGATAAAAATCTTACACTTGATCAGCACGTCATATTTCCTGTAGATTTTTTCCACAATGTCAGGACACTGTCCTATATATTGTTGTTAACGTTCTGCCAACCTGTAGAGACTTGCTTGGAATAAGTTTTCATCCCTTTTAAAGTCTCTCATGGTGTATTGTTTTTCATTTGGTCACATTTCTCTCAGGTAACTCTTCTGAGAAGGTTATTTTGAAAAAGCTATGAATGAGACTGAACTTCTTAACTTATCCTTTGCAATAAATAATAGATCCTGACAGTATAATCAAGTCCTCTATTTTCACCACATAAGACACTGAGCTTCTTCTATTGCCTTTCTGAAAATTTTCTGTTTTATTTTTTATTAAGCTAAGAAGGAATAGGACAAGGTAGACACTAGGACAATGCTCAAAAGCAATACTAAGGTAAAGCAGACAGTGTAGGCATGACTTAGAAGACACATTAACATTTCAGCTGTCATCAGTCAGGAGAAGCACACAAGCTCTACTGAGAGTAATTAAACAACCACATCCCATTTTATTTCAGGAAAAAAAAATTATAAGAGCATTAAACATTTTAATTACAGGGGGAGTTGACTCATCACCTGCTCAGAATCGGCACAAATAACCTGTCAAGATGGTAAGATTTTAATTTTAAACTGTCACATTATGGATATTTGGTTAGGCCAGAGCATGAAAAGGCCAGATTTGATCTAATTACGAAAGACAAATAGTAGAGCAAGTTTAACAACCACAGACTCATTCAGTGGTTGTTATAATAAAGTGCAAAGCTGCAGAAATACAAGGTGGGAGGAGGTCGGGGGGAAGGAAATGGATAAAGCACAACATGGATTTATCAACTTCAAATTAGATAAGATTAAGTTATACTGGGATACATGAAAGCAAATGTTACTATGCTGCAGGTTCATCAGCTGAAGTGCAGAAAATGGAACTTGTAACAATTAAAAGATGGAAAAGAAACCGGGATGGGGAAAATGTCAACAGGCACTGCTGGAAGCTGAACTATTGATCCATATGAAGTTCAATGACCTATTTAAGCACTGATTACATTTAATATTTTCCCTAATTAGGAAGTTTTGGATAAAATTTGAAGACAATTTCAATAGAGAAAAGGCTAAGAATATGCACATATATATATAAAAAAATTAAAAGGGAGAAATGAATCATTGACAAGGTCGCTTCCCCAAGGTGAGAAGAACTGCTCTACTCTCCTGTATGTGGACACTCCTTTTTGGCCAATTAAGTATTCCAGTGCAAGATGTCTGACAGGATTAAAAAGACTGAGTAAGGAAATACATGACTGCCACAGTCTCTGCTCTCTCTCTCTAAATAATTATATTTATTCATTTACAAAGCATAATCTAGACACATATCCCGCTCACCATTCCCAACTGAGTATCAACCACTACAGCAGAGTCAGGACCCTTGTTTGTTCTCTGCCCCAAGTTTGGTTTTCTCTGCTGTGGAGACCCCCACATCCAGCTGAGCATCCCTGACCCCACCTGCCCCAGGGCATGCTTTACACATCCCTGCCTCCTACTCACTCCTAAGCTATGGAAAAATTACTGCACCACAAACACATCCTCCTAGGCAGCAGCCTGCACACAGGACACTGCCCAGAGGGTTCCAGCCCTGCTTTGCATCCCAGAGGAACAGTCATGCCACCTCCTCAAGACCTTGAGGGCTCCTTTACCTTTATTGCCTGAGACTGGCAGGGGGTCACATCAAAACTGATGCTCTCTC